GTGTGGGTAGATAGTGAGTAATTGAACTGCAGTCACACGGTATTGTTGAAGTTAACGTTCGTTCTTACAGTGTTGTTTTAGCGCGAGTATTGAGATTAAGTGTATCGCAGAGTTATATTCGGAAAGAATAAATCAGTTTTATAAAAAAAGGACTTGTGTCGCTTAAGTTTCGTCGGAACGAAGTTACGGGAAAATCAATTAACAAACGGAGACGTAACAGTATTCTCACACATACTTCATTCCATCTTGTATTCCATCTTCAAATTATGATAAATCAGTTCTAAGCAGGTTCTCTTTCATATTTAACAGCTTTTATTGCAGTTTCAAAATATATGAGTGCTGGTTATGTAATCTTAATGTAATTTGATGAGTTTGTGATCATTGATGATAGATAATATAATAATGGTATCTTGTCATTATGTGTCAAGTGTTGTCATTAGAAAGTTTTAGTATAATTTTTCTGTAATAGTAAGTTCAAAGATCTATTATTTATCTACTAATAACACTTATCTAAGTTTTTAAGATATTTTATTTATCAGGCACTTTTTCTAAGAATATCATTACTCTTAGGACAGACTTACAAAATACAGCAACCTTCAGGGTGGGATAACTGACCACAATCAAGACCAAATCACTGCATGTGGAATGTTAGAGGTGTCATTTCGTTATAACTCTCAAGCCAAAACTTTTATTATTAATGTGCTGAGGATACAAGATCTTCCTTCTAAAGATCGTGGGAGCCCCAGCTATTTCCAGGTGTTATATTTTTGGTATATTTTGGTTAATTGCATGTATTACCTCTTAAACAGATGCTATATTGTAAAGTAAATAATAAGTCTTTACACATAATGCTTATAGTTGTATTTTTCTGATAAGTATATTGATATTGTTAACATCATGCTCATGCAGAAAGGAAGTATATGCAGGGTAACTAAGATAATGCATTAATAAACAAATAACACAAGTCAACACTTTTTTAAAAGAAAAAAATAATTAAAATATTTTGAACATATTAATATGCTGTATTCTTGATTAATGTATTTTACAAATCAATTGTTTAGCCAAGGAGTTTCACTGTAGAAAATATGATAATGTTGCGTCAAGCAGTCACATGACCTAGAAACGTTGCGTCACGGCGAAATATCATGTACTTTGTCGAATGTTCAAGTTCTTACTAGAAATAGGTTACGCTGGTATATAAAAGAAGGGAGATGTAATGTGTAGATAGATAGTGAGTAATTGATCTGCGGTCGGAGTATTATTGACGTTCGTTGCTATAGCGTTTGTTTAGCGCGATTGTTGAGTGTATCGATTACGTTATATTCGGAAAGAATAAACCAGTTTTATTAAGTAAAGACTTGTGTCGTTAAAATTTCGTCGGAACGAAGTTACGGAAAAATCAATAAACGAAACGGAGACGTAACAGTTATTTAAAGGACTACAAAACTTCAATAATCATGACAGCATACAACACAATCAATCCAAATAACCTTATGATCATACAATTACATAGTACATGAAAGTGTATTAGCACAAATGTTGTCAACCCCTTTGACACGGATTATTTTCAAATCATATTCTTGTAATGATAAACTTCAATTTAACAGTCTTCTGTTTTTGCCCTTTATTTGGTTCAAAAACGTCAACTGGTTATGATCAGTGTAAATGACAATAGGTTGTTGTGATGCAGATAGATACACAATGAAATGCTCTAAAGCTAACGCTAGAGCTAATGTTTCTTTTTCTACAGTATAA